TAAGTCACTTCCGATTTTCCGTGCTTTACGATCAAGACAATGGTATTGATTTGTTTATATCTATGGCAAAATTTAATGGATGACTACAGTAATGAATCTGATTTTAAATGCCATTTTACTCGATGTTAACACGAAGCTTTGTCTAGTTTCCAGAGATACAGCACAGCATTTTGGCAAGATTGCTACGCAGCATAAAGATAACTGTTTGTAATAGTACGAGATAAGTGGTGAGATAATTATATTTATACCAAAATTATTAATTATTGGGCTATGCCGCCTCAGCAAGCCCATTCGAGGTCCTCGATCGACACACGATAATCTCACGACAATTTACGCCTCATTCTGTTTTGATTAACATATCGAAAAATAGTTTATATTGGTAAAAAACAATGTTATCGGTTGAAAATATAGATTTCTAACCTCTGTGGCGACGGAAGATACTGTATTACCATACACATCAAAGTCGTAGCTACAACTTACTTACTATATACTATTATGAAATAAAAAATTTATAAAATAACTTTATTTGAATGAAATACTCATATAAATACGATTGGTTTAAAAAAAACAAGAATTTTAAGCTGGTTTACAAAATAATGTATGATTTGCTTGGATAAATGAAGTTGATTGATTAATGCATTTTATTTGAGAGATAAAAGTGTGGGAAAATTTTCCCACCATTAATACTATTTGTCGAGCTTTGTAAATTTTGTTGGTTAGATGTCGTTTTCTGTTCATGTTGCATTCACAGTTTTGTTGTATTCAGTTTAGTTTCGTAGTTTAAGTACATAGGTGGCATTATCCGCTAGGATAGGCATTCCTTTATAAGCAACTATATCGTTCAGACATCCGATCTCGTAACGCGCCATGTTTCAATCGCAGCTAATTCTCATATATGCACTTCTGGACCTACATCCAATTACTTCAGCCAGCACAGCAACAGGAGCTTTAGATTCTAAATGTCTTCCTGATTACTTTTTCACTATCTTTTTGTTGGTGTGAACGTTGCTTTATTTCCCATTTACTTATTTACGCTCTGTATGCAATGTTATTCTATGGTGCTCTAGACAAATCAATATTCAATTACTAATATCTCAAACTAGCTTTAAACGTGGTCTCTGATATTGGCAGAGGAACTAGTTTCCTTAGCTGTGACCCACGATTCAATATCTTTATCTTCAACTTTCCAACGTCAAAATCTCAAACTGTCCTTCCTATTTTTCCGTCTAGAGTACCTTCCTTCAACTGGTTTCCTCTATATTTATAATTTGTCACTTACCAACTGCATTAGCACTGAGAAGCACCAAAATCTTAGCTTTGTTGATCAAGTTATTTAAATGTTTGCTATTACTTGATTCATACTTTGGAATAGGTTATTACTTAGGTAGTGTCCTCTCAGTCAATTCTTTAGTAAGAGGTCAAACTTTTCTTTCAGTATCTGGGACACTTCGGGACAACGCCATTAAGGAACTTTTTACTGTTCCACGCGAAATTCCTGCATTGAACCGCCGTTCTTCTGCTACAGCATTTAAAGCTTTCGAATTAAGCTTCCTTGAAAAACGGGCCCGATCAACGCCAGTTGCACTTTCATATCAAATTGAATAAATATCAGCAGACTCTATTCTTTATTTATTTGTCCGATTGTGTGAGTCAATCATAATTACTCACACAAGTTATTTATCATGGTCGTGTTCAGTGCTGCATTGGTGACGAACCATCGACATGTGCAAGCATTCAGTTCTATTCATAATTCTGACAAATTTTATCGACCTTGACATATTGAGCTAATTCTTTGAACGGCAAAGCATTATTCGAAATCAACTATAAACAATTTATTGTCCAGCCATTCAACAGCCGAGTCTGAATATAGCACTCGAAATTGAGGTTGATATTAGTAATTCAGTTGTCACTGTTGTGCATCTAAGCTGTCAACCAGCATTGCAAATAACTAGATCATAAAACATTATTCCTGGCGTCATATTCAATTCATACCATACTTTAGGATAACTCGCACGAGATTCATTATTCACGAGTAACAGTCACTTAACATGAGCATAAAAGACCTTGATTTAACACAGTATTCATTATCCTGATACTCATCATGCTGGTAAACGGTCGTGTCGGGCTAACAGTCAGTCTCATAGACTAACAGCTCAGCTTTTCATAGGAGATGATGAAGGTCTCGCTGTTATCCACCTTTTAATTCTCTTCATCCGGTGTGGCGCGCGACTAAAACGCATATGTCCTGTTGTGGAGCAATCGCGACTGAGGTCTGCCGCAATCACTATACCGAGTGTAGGAATGTGATTGCTGCAGTCACTCTGTGCCGAGTATAGGAGTGTGATTGCTGCAGTCACTCTGTGCCGAGTATAGGAGTGTGATTGCTGCAATTACTCTGTGCCGAGTATAGGAGTGTGATTGCTGCAGTCACTCTGTGCCGAGTATAGGAGTGTGATTGCTGCAAT